CAACTAAGTCATAAAATCTTAGTACATCTACTAGTATTTCTTCACTCAAGAAAAGTACTATTTTTGTCAAGAAATCTTAGAAATGGTGCTGGGAACATAAACATTAGAGGACAATGACCAAATTAATTTTGGTATCTTAACAGCTATGGTCATAATTTAATTTTTAAATAACCTTTCTTTTGTAGAATATAACTTTTATTGAAAAGAAAAAATAAGGATACCAATTTATCAAGAATAACCCGAAACGCATGATGGCTGGCTGCTTGTATCAAAGTATGGCTGCCTACTAGGGTGGTTATCCAATCCCTTTCACAGACACCTGCTCAGGCACATTTGTGTGGGTTCAAAACCCAGATAGCTCACCTGTGGTTTATACTGCAACTATGCTGAGCAGAACTTAGAGTTTCTGGGAGAGAGTACATTACCTGGCATGATCCAGTTTGAACAAGGTCACAACGACTTGTGACTGTGTGAACACAACCATCGATGGCTCCCAAATAGTTCTGCCTACCCAATTTCACTCACAAGGCTTGGATTAACTCATGACCATGATACTTTTCAGGCACTTTCCAAAGGTGCCAAATGTTGTGATGACCTTTCTAGGTTGATTACATCAAGAGGTCACTTTCCTAACAAATTTACCTATGGTAAGAAAGTGAATATTCTAACCACTCAGTCATGTGCCCATTTGAAATATATATGAAAGAGTCAATAAATTTAAAAAAAAAAAAAAAAACTTCAATCGACCTATGTTTCAACAAACTTTCCCAGACATCCCACTCATCAGGGTCATATAAAACTATTGAATTATTACCAGATATATTCTCTACTTGAGAAACAATAAGACTGACCCCCCACCCAAAAAAAACCTTTTAATTTGTACTATGCTAGTGTCCATTAAGAACACATTTAAATATTCACAAATAGTAGAAAATGACGATATTAAAATGGCTGATGATTCAGAATTGGCAATCTAAGAACTGAGTTCCAATTCCAGTCACATAATATTCATTTACATGCAAATAACCTTGAGAAAGGCATGAATCCACTTCCTTCAGCTATGGGTTTAATTTGTAGGACTTGTATCAGTAAATCATTATTATTCCCCCAACAAAAACAAAAATCAATCAATAAAGTTAAAATATTTAATATATATATATATATATATATATATATATATATATATTTTACAATTATAAAATATATTTTTGCAAAAAATATTTTGATTTAAAACTCGGCAAACTCACTAACGATCATATAATTCAAGAAATGAAACTCTTAAACTGTTTGTAATATGAAAGGTATATTAATATTATATTTTTATTACTTCAAGCATTACTTTTAGTGGATACCTGTATTTGAGTAAACACTTAAAAAAAAAAAAAAAAAAAAAAAAATCACAGTGTTTACAGGCAGTCTAGAAAACTTAAGAAAATGTGCTCTCTGGCAGAATTTGAACCTCTGTACCTTATTGCAGGAGAAACCACTGTCTCACCAGGTGGGTTTCAGTTTCTCAGCTATGGAGAGCTTCAGTCAACCAAATTTCTATTTGCCTTTAAAGCACATTCACTCATTGAGATTTTTCTCAAAAGCCCATATTTGCTTATTTTTGTATCTAAAACATAAACAAAGCAATTTCTAATGAATTTATGGATTTTAATTTTTAATCCAGTATATTTTTATTAGTACAAACATTATTTTTAGTAGATACCCATATTTGTGTTAGACGCTTCATTTTTTTTTTTTTTTTTTTAAATTTTGGTAAACAAAATAAACACTGTTTAAAAGAAAATAACAAGTGACTCCTCAAATACAGGTAGTACTAAAAATAATATTTGAAGCAATAGAAATATAATCCAGTCCCTTAATAATAAAGACCATTAATTCTGTAAAAATATATCTATACAATATATACAAAAATATATCTATACAATACTAAAACTCTAATCTTGAGTGTGTGTGTGTGTGTGTGTGTGTGTTTCCAAGATACAGCTTAAACAATACATAATACCCTGACCAATTTAGGAGCATATAATACCTTGAATCCCTGCTGAGTGCAGTGCCAAATTTCATTAAAATTAGGGAAGGGGTTCTTGGTTTGGTTTGGCTTACGGCATATCAACCTCAATGGGTTATTTAATGCTGACAGTTTTTTATTGGGGGTATTTTTTTTTTCGGTAATGTATTGCTAATAATTTTTTTTATTCTTCTAAAATCTATTGCTAGTAATTTTTTTTTTTCAAAAATGTATTGTTTGTAATATGTTTTTTTTTTTTTTTTGTTTTAATGTATTGCAGGTAATAATTTTTTTTACAAAGTATTTCTGGTATTAAAACCTATTTTTACATTTTCATAGTGTTTTGATCCAATTTGTGGGTTAACTATTTACCCATAGCTGGCACCCTAACAGCTGCTACCACCCCTGGTCAGGGTGGACCTGGGAACACCAGCATTTAAAAGGTGGTTCTACACTCCACAAAACCTCTTGATCAGAGGCCTTGCAATCAGACACAGTTTATTGTTTTACCCAGGATGCGGATGTAGTTTATTGTGATGAGGGGTTCTTCAACTAGGAACCATTTTTCTGTTTTTACAGCATTTTTAACAGAAAATATTTCTTTCTGATACATGTTTTTATATGAATCTGCACATATAAACAAACACTTGCATATTATATTCCAACTATTATGTGTATGAAAAATAATAAACATTCCTAATACATTATAACATTATTAAAGAAATTTAAATATACAAAACAAAACATTTATTGAATTCACTACACTACATTAGAACTTATTTTATAAACAATTACTTGAAAA